ACGCATTTTTTAGAAAGTATTCAAAAAGATCCAGGGGCTAGGCAAAGTGATATCTCTAAATTATCAAGAGAGTTGATGGAGGAGGAGAAAGTCCTGAAATAAATGATTCATAGCTCTTAAAGCAGATGATACTCCTCATTGCCCCAAAACGCTTCCTGGATTCTCCTCTCCCCCTTACCTCTTCCCGGCAAGTCAACTCTGTGTTGACTCTTATTCATCTGAAAATGAATAAACATAACCTTCTTCTATTAAGTTTTAGAAAAACAATTCCCATTTCCACAGAAGCACTATATTCTACAAAAGGTACTACTCTTCTGAAATTCTACTGGAAAATACTCTAAGCAAGGCTAAATACCCATCTAGCACAAATAAGGCCAGTCATGAACATTATTAAGAGAACAGTTAGGTCTAAAGCTGGAACAATACTAGCCAGATTTGTTTTTTCTTTATGCCCAAGCTGTATTTCAGCTGATGCTGCTATTGTACCAAAGTGTTGTAATTCTTTTACACTCTGCAGAATGAAGGTGTATCAAAACTGTATCCAAAAGGGAAGATTAGGTTCAAGGAGCAGATATATATTTTAACCCACCTGTGCTGTAATTGACTGTTCCTTTACTGAGCATATATTATTTGCAAATACTTTACTCAGTGTAATAAACCTTTTCACAAAGAAAATAAATGGCACTTCCAGTACTTTTCAGTCCTAACAGAATTAACTTAATGATTCACACCAATATTATGAAAATCTGATCCTGTTGTGCTTTGCTTTTTCAAAAGCAATGATTTGTATTTTTCAGATGAGTTGCATTTCTTCTGTAATTAAACCTTTTTTTCTGTCCAAGTCTAAGCTGTTTAGACTCTTTAATCACAACTATAATAAAATCTAAAGTCTCAGCTCGTTGTTCCTCAGGCTCTGAAATTTCCTTGTCTTGTATGTTAAAATAAGAAAGCATATCGCATCAAAGTCAATTAGAGCCGGCACCCTTTGTGCTTTGCCATGCTGCAGCTCCATTTCCTGCATGCGTGCTGCATAGCCCCAGGAAAGATCATAGGCACTTCCAAGGTGAAGCTCCTGAGATGTGCTGGGCCCTCAGGGAGATAGCCCCAGAGAAAGGAGGACATTTATATTGGAAATGACTGTAGAAAGTTTCAGCACAGCAGCTTCTACATCCAAAGGGCTTATGCCTTGGGGAGCAGGTGGGGAAGCAAGGTTTCATTCCAAAATCAAGAGGAACACTGGAAGGACTGAAGAAAGGGAGGTAAAAGTGAGAATGCTGAGGACAGAATTGTGTTATGAATAATGGAAACCCTCTGAAGGCTCAGATGAGCATCTGAACTCCCTAACAATTAGTAAAAGATTGAATAGTTTGCAGTATTATTAGTACCTCATATTGCCCCTCAGGGCAATAAGGTATTTTATGAGGAATAACACACGATATGTAATATTTATAAAGAAATGGATACAAGGGAGTAGAAACCTGAGTTTTATTTCAGGCTGAACTAGGTGAAAATCTCTGAGGAGCTAGGCATTGGTCTAATCCTAGAGAAGAAGGAATAAATAATTTAGGTGTCTTGGTATAGTGAATAAGGAGTTGGTGACAGAGAAGTGGATTTTCTATGTGGAATCTGGAGGAGTGACTGGAGAAGTAAAATGCACACACATACACAAACATATATAGAGAGAGACACACATATATCCTGAAGAAAAGCAGAGAAGGCCAGTTTACTTCTGATCCTGATCCAAAGTTCACTGAAATCAACAGGTACTGTCTCAAGGACCATAAGAAGAAATATTCTTGTTAAACAAATGCTTTTACCACTCAGTTGCTCTAAGAAGAACAAGATTAACCCACTGCATAAACCAGAGGACTTCAGAGCTGCCAATATTCTCATTGAGGGGGAATGTGGGAACAGATTTCTTGGCAACTAATATTAAACAGGTGCACACAAATGTATTTATGGAGCCACATGTATGCATACAGCTGTACATTACATCACATTCATACATCTCACATTTTGACTCAATTACAAAAAATGTTTTCATCTCTTTAGTGACATATGAAAAAATCAAAATAAAATTCTCTAGCAACATATTTTGCTTGAAATAAAGACATTTCTTTAGCATCTTGACTCAGATAATTTTGCTGATTCTTCATATGCATAAAACAGTGACAGGATATACAGGCTATATCCAAGATAACACATTTAGTTGTAGGTAGGGAATGTTCCAGGCCACCACTCCATTATCTGCATTTTCAAGCTGTTAGAACAGTTCCTACACTGCTTTGGCTGGGGCTTTTGCAGCCTCTCCGACCATTAGGCCAGTTGGCTTAATGCTAGAAAATAGTCCTCGGCACATTTAATTTATCAGGACAGATGTAGCTATTGAGCGTACAGGATTTCACTATGGCCAGCTAATTTGTATTCTGTCCTTCTCTGGAAAGGCTGAGGAGCTTCTGAGTTACCACGTTCATGTGCTATTACTTACTGACTAGAAAATCTCCTTATGAGTGACTTTTTTCCACTCTGAAACTGTTACGGCACATTTGACTGTTAATAAAAAGAAAACAACAAAAGTGTATGGGAAATGTGATAACTTTTCCTTTGATTTGTATTCTAGACAGATCCAGTGAAAACTGGATACGTCCTTCCCACTCTGCATCATCAAAATAATTATTTATAAAAAGTCACGAACCATATGCATACTATGCTTAGCTAGATAGTTAAACTTAGAAAAGCTGGAAGATGACAAAAGTGAAGATGACAGAAGTGAAACTATTTCTTTAAAAAAGTTGAACAGCAATACTGACTGGCTTTTAACTTAAAAATCAAGATGCATATTTTCTTCTGATAAAGTACATAGTAATTATATGCCAAGATACAACTATTTCTAAACAGAGAAAAACTATTTTGATGTAGAGTAATGAGCTAAGAATTATGAACAAGGTTGACTTACGATGTGAAAAATAGTGTTGCAAATTTTCTATAAAAAATAATATACTGAAAACTCTTCACAGTTGACAGAAGGGAAATAAATCCTTATCAGCAAAGTAAGAAGGGGCGGGGTGGAGGGGTGTTGTTCTATCTCCAAAACATACGTATCTTAACTATTAGTAAAATATCACATTTTTTCATGTGAAAAGATGATGACACATCAATTTAATGTTAAAACCATATTTTGCTAGGAATATCTCAGTAGGAATTCTCAGGTCCAACAAACAGAGTTCAGAAACAGCTGCATAAGCTATGATTTTATTCCCTCCCTTTTTTTTTTTTTTTTAACAGAAAGATATGTCTACAGTAAGAAGTAGCGCAGCACAACAGAGAGCAAAACAGCTGGGTGCTAAGGTAACCATGATTATTCAATACATGCTTCATGGTTTTTAATTTGAACTATTTCTGGGCTATCCTCATTACACCCAAACACTTTTTCCTCCTATTTAATTCCACAGTACGGTGGTGATAATAGTCTGTGCAATGCACTGGAGAGCCCAAACTGGGCAAGTGTTGTACCTCAGTGCTGATTCAGTAAGTATCTAAGTTAGTAGATAGTTGCTATAATACATTGTTCAGATGAGCTATAATAAATTGTTGAGATGATCTTATCTTGCAAAAAGGATACTTGCGTCTTACCATGTTGCTAGGCTGACAAGCTTTATGTTGTTTTGCTAACTTTTACAGTAACACCACTATGAGCTGGAAGCCCTCAGTTACTTCCAAAGGTCTCTGAGGAACCTTACACATTAATACATATATCATATTCATACATTTACCATATTTATATACAGTTATATAAGAACAAAACACTTTGATAGTATGATGAACCATAGAAAACAGCAACTGTACCAACTCTGAGGGAATTCTTTCAAAATTTAGATATTCAGTCAAAAAAAGAAAAAAGATTGAAAGTATAAAGAACCACGATAGCTAAAATGTTATCTTACAAAGTATGAATTACAGAAATATACAGATTTTTGATCTTTTTTGAGTTTTGGGGGTTTTTCATTTTTGTTTACAGATACTGTGAAGGTTCTTTCTAACTTCATATGCATAAATTGTTATTTTTTAATTATACTGTTAGCTTGCTTCGAGTTTTAATTAGTGTTGGTTTTGTTTCTTAGGCCAGATAATTCTTTGAGTTTAAAACTGCGTATTCTCTTTTATTATATTTTGACTAAAATTACTAATATGTATCCTCAAGTTTAGCATTACAGACTTCTGTGACAGGAATGCATTCTGTATTTGATTTTTTACATTGACAAAAGTATTAAATATTCAAAATAAACTCTGGCCCGTTTATATCCATGAGTGGTTTAGGTTTTTTTTTTTCCAAAGCGTGAAGGTAATTGAACTGAAATTACAAGTTCCAGTAAGAAATGGTAAAAAGCAAATATTTAATTCATTTGGATCCTGATGCAATAAAACTGGAAATAAGCTTTTATCTTCCATTTTAAAAAGGAACTCTCACATAATCCTATGTATTTCCACTTCAAAGGATAATCAGCTCTTTGCCAATGGTACAACAGAAAGTTACCTTTGAGGCAAAATCATCTTTAAGCTTGTTGAAGAACAATATTTGCCAGAAATTCACCGTGAAGGAAAAGGCACAACTGTATTATTTAAAATGCCTTACACAGTGGGTCATGGAACAGACTTTCATTCTCTTTTTATTAAGTAATAGAGACAGTACTAGAACCACCTTTCCAAATCATATTTAAATGCAGATAAATATGTCTGAATCTAGAAATCTTTATGAAGTATGCTAATAAACTAGGACTTGCTGCTAGAATAGTGCACTAAGATGATTTGGAAGTATAGTGATTAGTCTGATAAATGGATGACTTTATCTGACTGCCTAAAAATTACCCATTAAAAGAACACATACAGTACAGGCTGAGAGATCAAACACTCTAGCAACAAGCTTCTCCTCAGCACAAAACATTCAGCACTGTAGCAACTTCATCACTTTAAGTAATGGATAGCATTAGGAAAGAACTTACATTAGGTCTTAATCCTGCTGCCATTTCATAATACTTCTCAGCTTCTTCATTGAGACTGGCTTGTCTATCAGGACAGAAAAAAAACCCAGTACAGTTAACCTCATTTTTCTTCAGTTAAAAGGAAGGCATATCTAAAAATAATATAAAAATTCTGCAATTACTCCCCACCATTTAAGGATACTAACCTAACAAATGCACCAAGTATCTCAACCTAAAAGACTTTCGTACTTCAGAATATCCATTATCTCTAAAAAAATCCTCTTTCTATACATTATTTTCTTTTCAGTTCTGAAACGATATTAGTACACATTGGACAGAAATACAGAAGACCAAATACTCCTCTGAGGCAAAACTACAAACATACTAGTCTTCACTAGAGGAAAATCTGGCCCAGTTTTTTTAAAACTTGCCATACTTCAGCAGTATATTATGAAGCTGTGGGTCACAAAATAACACCGTTTGTGTCTTTGTGCCTCCCCAAGAACATTATCATTCAAGAAAAAAATGCAGTGAATAAAATAATTTCTCGAAAATGGGTTTCCAAGATCCAGAGAATTCATCTGGAAGAGAAAGTTCACATTTTAACATCTACTCACATCAGACTGAGAGGGCATTTCAACTTAGATCTCCCATATCCCAGGGCAATGAGGTGGGTTTCTGGGTGCATGAACCACTATCAGTCCTCTTTTTCCTTCTCCGTATTATTATACATACCCACTATATTCTCCCAAGGAGTTTAAATTCTAAGAGTTTATTTCATCATTCCCTCACGTTTCGGTTTAATACCTCCAAATGAAAACACAGTATGTTGCCAAAGAAATCAAAATAATTTTTTGTTTCAACAGGCCTTTTTTAATCTCTTCTCATAACCTTCTCCTTTTGTCTCTACCTTCCCAATTTCCCTCCAATTATTCATTTTGGCCACTGGCTCACAGATATTAATTAATCACATAAATGTAATGAGAAAAATCGTAGATGCATAGGAACAATCAAGCAGGACTACCAAGCAGGCCACATTTCCCCTGTTATTATCATAATACTAAATCGCACGAAGAAAAAATGTCTTTTTTTTTTCTGTGAAGAGTTAGCTACTGAAAAAAAAAAAAAAAGGCCCAAACATCTTATTTATACCTTTGACACTCTTGACAGGAGATCGACAGTACATTTGTGCTTGCTATGGGATAACAGATGGATTTCTTTTCCACATAAAATGGAAAAGTTAAAAACAAGACTAGAGTTCCTTTTTTCTTTTTCCTCCCCTTCTGAAAACAGTTATTAGCGCAAAGAATATCATTTAGCTGAATACTCATATCTAGAGGCTTTATCTTGTTGCCTACATATGAGGTTTTAAATACTTTGTTGTTGAGTGGTCAAATTGTATTTTATTTTTTTGTTTCTATCTACCTAATTTTTTTTAACATTAGCCACATCATACATGATAGACAATTAATTCCAATGAATCCATTTTGATAGACAGCTATTGGTCTTGGGAGGAGAAAGGAGGGAGGGAAAATCTCTTTGAAGTTTCTCACATAATTCACATGCAAGTTGAAACCACTTCCTGCCTAAAAGTTTACCGAGAACCTGGTTTATACCTGTTAATTGTTCTAAATTACTTTGCACATGTAACAACTCAGTGGTTTAATCGGTCAGAAATGACTGAATGTAAAAAAAAAATTCATTTAACATACTCCTGAATCACTGCCGCTGGGCATTAGTAGCGTCTGAAACTATTAAACAACAAAAAAACCCCACAAAATAAAACTCAAACTTCTGAATTTAAGGAATTACTATAAGGCATAAAGACTAGATATGGCACAGAGCTTTTTTTCTTTTTCTTCTTACACTGAACTGTCAGGAAATTAAGCATTTCTGAATGCAGTGAAATTCTGTACATATACAAGGTATCTTACCCAGGAGGCAGAGGTAGACAGTACACTTTACCTCAAAAAAGTGTTGTTGGCATGTGAACATGGGACAAATTAAAATCCTGTCTCTTTTTCATCCAGCGGAAATACTTTGCTTTTTTCCTGCAATCAATAAATCCTGAAACTTGGGGCACTGATTTCCAAGTTGAAATCAGTTTGAATTTATAGTTCACTATCAAAAATGGTTTATATAAATGAATGCAAACCACACTAATCTGATCAGGAAAATGCAAGTTCCATTACTGGGGCATTCAGGAACAATTCCTTTACTTAAGATGCAGCAGAATTCTGGTTCACATTTTCACTAGAAATCTAAACTAGAAATTCATTATGTTAAGCCCTGGAATGGCTTTCCCTTGAGAAAAATAAAAGGCACAGAGGTAGGAAATTGCAGTAACCCTATGCCACTAAGCAGTCACGGGCTCTGGATCCATGTCAAACAATGGAAGGTCATTACTAAAGGAAACATAATTCACATCAGAGTAAAACATTGGATAAAACAATGGTGATAGAAAAGGAGGAAAGAAAGCAAGGAGAAGTTGGGAAGATAGAGCCCTTTCATATGTATGACTTATAGTTCTACCTTTTTCCTAAATTTTTCAAGAGGACTGACCTTGAAAACACATCTGATTTCCACTGGTTAACATCTAGCTTTTAGTCTTACTGTCAGGGACCAAAACGTTTCCTCACTTGGCTTTCTCTTATCGCCTAACTTGAGCGTCCAGATCTACAACACGTTACTCTTAGGTTCTATTGACACCCAAGTTCAATTCAAGTTTGATTCACTTTAAATTTATATCAATCACTAGGAAATACTGCTTTAACAGAAAAAATGACAATGTTGACTGGTTTTGATACATCAATATTTGAATGGGGGATTGTTAATCGGCAGATTGGAATAAAGCCTCAGATTTCCTGTTTCTGATTTTTATGTGAAATTGTGGATGTCTGTCCAGCTAGGAAAAGATGTTTTTCTTCAGAGAGCTTCCTATTTTAAAATACCGAATTTTGATTCTTAATGGAATTTTCTGAGTCATAACTAAACCATAATCAGATTCCATACATGTAATCCTTCACTCACATTTTTGTTTTATGACAGCAATAAAATTTTACATAGACTATGTGCATACACACACATCAATATATTTAAACACACATACAATAATTAAAGAGTGAATTAAATCTGCTTAGGGAATAACACAGGGTGAACTTGTGCCTATGACAGTGAGCCAGCAATTACACTGCACTGTGATTTGGAGTGCCCAAATGCTCCAATAGCAATTCACGACAAAATAAAGACCATGTCACGTAGTATCGCTCTAGTTTAAATTTCTATTTTCAAATAGCCGATAAATGTGCAATAACTTCATATAATATGAGTGTTGCCCAGATCAACCCTTTGTCTTACTAAAGGGTGAAGAACCCAATTATTCCTACAAAACGTGCTTTTAAGCAAAGCTCCTCTCCGTATGCTTCTTCTCATTTGAGGACAACGTTAAGCTCTTTTGCTCTTTCTAGTTAGTACAGCAGACCCCATTACACTGCCAGTCCTCGTTTTAAAAGTAATCCTGCCTTAGATCACAAGAAACCTATCTTGCAGCAGCTCACCTCAGGATACTACTAGAAAGCGAAGGCTAGCATTGTTAATACATGATTCCTCTTAGTCACTAAAGCTACAGCCAGCATTAAGTATTTCAAATACGTGCTTCCTTATATTCCATTAAAATGAATGTTGCTCTCCTGAAAGGCTTCAAAAACTGCGGCTATAGGCAAGAACATAGCAACCACTACAAAAGTAACACATGCAACCAGTTATTGTGTTAAGAACTACCACTCAAACAGCAACATGACCCTTGAATGAAGCTGTTTGAAAGGTAAATTTGGTGAAAAAATAACTTGTACAAGCAAGTACTGTGCAGGCTAAAAGTTACCCGACTGTTGCAAAGAAATTAATTACATTCATTCCACATCTTACTCCTATTACAGATGATTTGATTCATGTGGCATTGTGTTATCAGGATGCTACAGAAGCCAGCAGCGCAAAAACTTAATAACTATGTTTGTGTAATTAGAACAGGGAGGGTCTCTTAATGATGCAAACAGAGCTAAACCTTTTTTTTTTTTTTCCCACTTGACTTCAGCTGCTAAATTTGGTCATGAAGACAGGACGTAAACAGTGCTGGAGGATCTGACATAAGGAATCTCTTTTCTGCACCTGCTAAACTAAGAACAGGCTATCTATAAATCCAGCTCTTGCTTTTGGACACAGTTAACAATTCTGTTGCAAAATTCTGGGAAAAAAAAGAAAGAAATACAGTCTCTGCTTTGTTCAAAACTTTTCAAAACTCATTAATATTTATTTAGAATGCATTTTAATTTAAACACTTTGATCAGAGAGTAAAGGAATAAAAAAGCAAAATATTTTAGTATTAGAGTAGAAAAATAAATTGGACTTGGAAACAGGCTGTGGTCGTTCTTGATCTAAAGCACTTGTAAACCCAATCCTGTAGAAATTTGTCTGCAATTCTAAAGAAATATCTGCAAGTTTCTAAATCTTGGGATGTTCCGTGGGGTAATGGGAGCATGATAAGAGGGAAAGATGATACCTTTCTAATTCAGCGGTACATCATCTGTTAGAATATTTGCTCTGAAACAATGTTAGAAATTACACAAAAGTATGCATTGCTGTTATCGCCTCCCTGTCATTTTGGACACCTTGAGCATCATCCAGATCAATACCAGTTTCTGTGTCTTCTTAATTCACAACATATCTTAAAAATGTATCCCTTCTCCCTCACCACAGTTAACTCATTTTGATGCCTTGTACACTACTATAATGTGATTTTTTTTTTCCTCACAGGTGTGCAGTCTATTCAAACTTCTCACTCACTTGCCAATCAGTTTTACAGCTCTCTATGGTACTTCATTAGCAGTTGCCTACATGAAATTACTATATTTAATAATTTCAGCCTTTCATTTATGATTCTCTTCAGCATCACCTGTACCACAGTCTCTAGCTGTATCCCTCTACGCCAGTCTGAGTACTCCTCTCTTTTTTTCCTCATTTGCATCCTTTATATCTGGTTTCCTTTCAGAATCATCTCAGCTCTCTGTCATTACAAATATCCTGAAAATTAGCTTCTTCTGAAGTCCCACAAACTCATGGCAGATTTATAGCTGCTCTGTACTACCACACGAATATACATTCTGTTTGTCTGGTGGCTATTACGTAAACAATATATTGAATAAATTGTCAAATAAAAAAGTGAACAAAGGCAGGCAGAAACAGTAGACAGGATCTTAGGGCTAGGATCATAGTCTTTTAGCACCCATCAGTCAGATCATAATACCTGCGGTTTTCAGCAAATACTTAGCAGCACTGAATCTAATTTTGCCACCCAGACTCTTGCTAAATCATCGAAACTAGTTTAGACTTCAAGAGCATATTAAGAAGACATTAGGATCCTTCACAAAGAAACTTGAGTATTTGAATGAAAAATTAGACCAACTGGGTATCCCAGGGGAGCACTACCTAAACTAAACCAACAGTATATTTTTCGTTTTTTAAGGCTTTTTGTTTCTGGGGTTTTATTTCATTGTTTTTTAAGGTTTTGACTTTTGCTCATAGTTAAAAATAAGATAGAGAACGCAGCTCAGAATCACTGAGCTCAATGCTGGTCAAAAGCTCCTGGAGGTGTCCAGTCCCAGCCAGGTCAAGCAGGGTAGTTGCGACTGATACAAGTTACAATAACACAGATCTGGCTCTAGGAATGAATACAAATACTCATACACATCGATGTAAATACATGTGCCTTCAAGATCTAAGTAATCACAGAGCAAGTGAGAGATGTATTAAACTTGGTCTTAAAACAGTACTGACCAACCTTTTTATTAGATCTACTCTATCATATTTTTAAAAACCAAAGAATTATACCATTGTACACTATTAAACCATCTTCCATGTCTCACCACAGGAGAAATCAACAGGAGTTCAGCACGCTACACCCTTCTGGATTCATGCTTTCATGCCTAACATGCTATGTTTATTTCTATGATTTTGGTTCATTAACGTAAATGCTTGAAATTAATGAATACTATTTTGAGGAGATGATGTTTAGAATATAATCAGAAGAAAGGGAAGAATCTTCAAAATAACTTACATACCTCTTAGAGATTGACCTACTGTTTACCAATGAACCTTTTGTCTTGGCTTCCTTTCTAATGTAAGAGCTATTTCTCAAAGGGCACTTTAGGGCTTATTTCAAAATCCTGACATAGAAACCTTCACTCTGAAATGTAGGTCACTCAGCTGAAGCTGATTCTACTTTATGTTTAATACCACTTTATTTTCCTGTTATTTGATATCCTAAATGTTAAAAGTATGAAAAAGCAAGCAAGAAATTTTAATTAGAGAAACAATTAGAGAAACATTAGCTTTGTGCTAATGAAGTATATTTTTATTTCCTCTTTTCGTGCATTTTCTAAATATAGATATAACCTAATGAAATCAAGTTTTCTCATACTTGTTAAGTATACAATAGATAATTCTCAGATAGTTATCCTAGAAATAAGCACGGAGGATGCCTATTATTGTAACGTGGGTTTAATGATACTGCTCAGGCAGAAGCTTAATTTTACTGAATATCCAGGTGTGCCAGCTTCAAAAGCAAAAAGCCTACAATTTTATTCTACTCAGATAAGAGAACAGAATATAAGACTGTATTTTAAATTACATATTCTGTTAATATTATTGATTGCTCAGTTATCATTAGCTTGAGAATATTTGGGTTTCTAATTATCGTAGCATTCCCTACTAATGTTAACCAAAAAAAATGATATTTTCAATATTATCTAGTTAAAGCCAGAATTACAGTCTCTTATTTGCTGTTGCTATGTGTCTTAAATCTTTAAAAATCTGATGAAAGGAAATCTTGCAGGAGGTTCTTCAGAGAAGAAGATACACTTTCTCATACGCAAGAAAAAAGGATTACCTCCATGTGAACAACAGAAATTTCCAAAGTAATAAATTATGATTTAACACAGAGAAAATTAAAAATAGATAGTGCTAAACTGCGCAAAAGTTTCACTCCAGTTCTTTTTACCTTACTACTACTAATGAATTATTCAAAATAGGCACTGGGGTTTAAAAAACTCTCTGTAAGCAAAGACTGTAAAGACTTTCCCAGAAAGAAGAGAGAAAATCAAGTAAGGCAGATGTAAAAACGCTAACCTAAGCATATGGGCTGCATTGAAAACAACATCAAATTCTGTATTATCTAGTTCGGCCGCTTTCTTTGCCATCTCAGCTGCTTCTATCAGGCGGGATTCTTCTAGAAGGAACTGACCTGCAATGGAGGAACAGAAAAAAACTGGTAAATAATACTTCAGACAATACAGTTACGAAAAAGAATTTTTAAAAGATGTCCCAGGGTTGGTGTTTGGTCATTTGTTGCTCTGCTCTGTATTTCAATATCTTTAAAAAGGGAGTAGAAATAACAAAAAATGCAGTAGATGTGATTGGTAATAACTGCAATATTTGCAGAATATATATATGAACAGTGAAAATGATACAGTACAACTCAGCCTTCAAGAAACAATAGTACCAGTCTCTGAGAAGACTGCCATTTAAGATTAAACTGTCCTTCTGCCTACACATCCACCCTCACTTCCTCAAGGAAGATGAAATAAAATAAAATAGCCTATACAAAATATATTCCCATTTTATGAGCATATCTCAAAACCAGATTAAACAATATATATGACATGGATTACTCCAGAATCAAATAATCTAAGCGTAACGACAATAAACAAATTCTCAAATTCTTCTAGGTTTTGCACATGAATACAAGTCATGTTCCCACAACTTCAGACATTGACAAAATTCAATAGCAAGAAGCAATTCAAAAGGAAATAACAGAAAATTGGTGACCAGACTGATGAGAATGAGCCAGGAGAAAAAAACAGAGTTAAATTACTATATCAATTTCTTTTCACTCTGTAATTCCATCTGTCTCTACTCTAGATAATATGTAGATTGCAGAGAGATGCGCAGGTCTACCTGTTGTCCTGTGAAGGGAAAGCATTTTACTGGGAGACTACTCACTGTAATTTTTCAAGAAACTACATTTTACAATACCCACAATTCCCACAATAGCGGGAAGAAAGTATGGCTGCTTCTCAGTTTCTCTTCTTTCAAAACAGGAGTGGATTGAAGCGGTGTTGTTTCGTGTTGTGTTTTTTTTTTCTCCCCAGCATAGATTCCTGAGAATTGCCAGAAGGATATGATTTCCATCTTATTCCAAATGCCTCAAATACTTATTTCATTCTTAAAACACGTAAGAAAGTTTTTTTTACTAGATGAACTGGATAAGATTTGATTACCGACCCACTTGTCAAGAGTAACACAAACTCCCAGGTGTGTTCTTGCAAGCAGAAAATCTCTCTGCCATCACTGCTATCGTTTACCTAAACAGGGATGCCAGGCTCTTTTGCTTACAGTCAGACAACTGAGAGTGATCTATACTGAAAGGAATGAAGAGAAAGCAACCAGATGGTCCATGCTCTGAGTTTGTTCTTTAGGTCTATGCTGCAGCTGAACGATAAGTTCAGACCTGAGGACAACACTGCACTAGAGGCTGCTTTAGATGCAGTAAGACTATAACTTTACCATATTGCTTAATGCACTATAGCAATGCACTTAAGCACTGTACAAACGTTGCAGCATGCACTACTTGATAGAACCTTAATATTTACACCTTCTGAATTACTAAGTTAACATGGCAACACTGCTGTCTTATTAAGGTGTAATTGGTAATCTTTACTGACTTAATGTGGTGGTTGATGGGAAACAAATTTCTTCAGCTTTAGATTATAAAGGATACTTTGCTATAAAATGATTATACGTGCATATCTTCACGAACTGCTATTTTATCACTTATTTCAGTAGCACTAAGAGAATCACAATAGGCAACTTTTAAAAATTTCCTACAGCAGTTCTTACAAGATATCACATTTCATGTTAATTCAAAAATAGAAGATGGTTAATATCAAGTGACTGTATTTTTACAAAGTAGTTAACAGCAGATATCACACGGCAAACGTAAAAAACTGAGGCCATGCCCCTAACGGCATCAATCATTAAACCAAGTTAAAATTGAAAAGAATGAATAATTAAGCGTTAACCAAACTTTAACTGAAGTACAGTAGTTTTAAAAGAAAAACACATAGCAACTAGTAAAACTCCATAAAAATGAGTTTTCCTTTGAAAAAGACTTTGGAAAACACTTTGGAAGGTGCTCAAACCACCTTAGCTCTACTCCTTACAACAATTTCTTTGCACCTAATTTCAGAAATGTGTTATTTTTGGATCAAGGACTTTTCAAAGGCTTTCAGCTGTCTAGACTCTGCCCCTACATAATTTTATATTTCGGAAAGCTATCTTAAAGTATGGTGATTATACCTCCCAGCATCTCATCCTTCCTTTTTCATCTTAGTCTATAAAGTAAGATCATTCAAACAGAAATTGAATGATCAAGGCCATCACCGGTCACAAGCCTCTTGAGGAGCAACAGTCCATGAGCAAGTGATCTCCTCTCGTGGGGAGAGATTTTCTTTCTTTCTTGACTCCTAGGCAAGATTATAAAGACTTCCCTGTTACTTAAATGCAATAGGCAAGAAAAAAAGAAAACATATGAAAACAGTGTGGCCCATAAGAAATTAATTTCTCTTCTAAATTAGAACCCATTGCTCGAGACATTAATAGAAATCTCTTAGGAAGAAGAAGAAAGTAGAGAAAAGCTACAATTTTTTTTTCCTTTGTCATATCACATCAGGGTATGCTATATATATAGGTGGGCAAACTCAGATATGACTCTGAGAATTCTTAAGTGTAAAAGAAATCCTCTCTCATACAAGTAATTCTACCACTTTCAATAGGCAATCTGTTCCTCTTGATTTGGGCTGAATTCCTAATTTTTTTTTTTTTTTTTAAGAGAGTCTTTAAAACAAACTCGACCAATCGTTCATTAATTCTCTGCCAGCAAATGAATTAAAACAGTATCCCTAATCTTTATGTCCCTGGCAAAGAAAACGAACCTTAAACTGTTAAACATGAAGGTTTCTCTGTCAATGAAAGCACTCGATTAGCAGAATGTGTCACTAGTAAGGGTATGTGCTCTTTATACATCCAGCAAGGGGGAAGAAAGAGGACATAATCTTGCAGACTTAAGAGATATAGTGAACCTTCAAGATTATTCTAATGAAATCTATGCATTTAGTTTAGGAAAAATATTTTGCAGCTTTAAATTTACAAATAAAATCAACTAGTTTTTAATCTAATTTATTCCAGGGGTTGGGGGCGGGGGGAGGGAGGGGTTCTCTCAGTGTTGTCTCTGACAAAAATTATTCAAGGGTTTTAGAGATACATCTCTAGAACAATACTTCTGATTTTCCGTTTGAAACACATTTAAGCACTGAACTTCACACACAGCTATTACCTTATGTGGTCTTACAACTACACTAAGATAGAAAGTAATACAATACAACTGATGCATTCTACTTTACATGACATAATCAGCAACTTTCTTGACTCAAGATTCACTTATTAAAATAATAAAATTATTTTACTTCATCTACGTAATTTCTCAAAAATATAACATTCCTATTTCAAACCAATACTAACAGTTTAACAGTACTCTTAAGCAATGCATACTAGACCTCTGCAAAAATGTTAGAATTCACCTATAAGGTCAACATACTACCAAAAATATTATGAAATTCCTACATGCTTTACATTTTAAAAAAAAATCTAATTTAGAACAATATAATGCTATATATATACTTTTACAGCGGAGCAACTGTTCTGCAGTATGCTGTAGCTAAAACCTGATCCTTGTTAATTCGTCTTCTAGGACTTTAGCTACACTGTTAGTCTACACGGATACATCTGAAATGTTAGCAACGACTCTAATCTAATGCTTTAAATTGTTAAAAACAGAAATTCAGTCTCCAACTACTATTAGGCCTCTTAAAAATGTCTCTACAGAAAGATTCTTACCTTATTTAGCATATTAAAGGAGCACCCTTCCCATAGGATTACTGAAGTTGACTCAAAATAATTACAATTATTTCTTTTCACCAGCCAAGTACAACTTTCTTCAGTCCTCCAGGAAAGAAAATTCCAGGACTATGTATTACCATAAACAAGTCTCTCCCCTATACAGGCAGTAGTAATAATTGTGGTAATAGCTCATGCTAAGCGGGTAGGTAGTAGATGATATTCAACAGCCTTCTAACACCACCTGTAGCATCCTCCCAATACAAATCCTTCCAAAATCCTGAATGCAAACAAGAGAGGAGAATGCCCTATAATTGCCCTACTCACACACCCTGAGTACAAGTGATTAAACTGAGGACTGCTGATTAAACGCTTCCTTAAGTTAATGAGCTATAAATATAATTGATGGCTACCTTTTCAATCTAGTTGCAAAGTCAATACCTGAGGGTACAGGTGTAAATTTCCAGTTGACCATCGAGAATTGCCAGGTTCTCCTGAAACATGGACCAATTTTATTCACATGACTAAATCTGATTTAAGGAGAGATACCCCATTTTGAAAACATTAGCCACCGTTCCTTTTAATATGACATACTAAATTCATGCACGAATGAACTGGATTGGCAGTTTACAGGTAAATGCTACATGTCATTCATCAAAAAGCAAGCTTTTGAACTTTTCCCGTCAAGGCTATAAAGATGTGTTTTGCCCAGAGAAGAGAACCAGCATGGCAGAATATTGGCAGGGTGCTGAAGGAGGATCAGAAGGGTTTGATCCACAAGCCTCTGGATGCAGGAATCGCTTGTGTGGGTCTAAATTTACATTCAGGATTTTCTCCTTTGAGAGGCAAACTGCATGATTTATCAGACCCTGCCCCATATCACACTCAAAGCTTTCTTACTGCAGACGTCATGACTCTGACTCTTGCCAGCTTCGTAAATTATGATTTAGCCTGATTGTTTATTTGAATAAGAACCAACTTTTGGGGAAAAGGGTAAAGGGGAAAAAAAAAAGCTTCTAAAGCTCTGAATCCTCATAGGTTTTCCTCCTTCAATGACTGTGTATGTCTTATTACTGTTCTAGAATGGGAGTGGGAAATACACGGTTCAGGTTCAGATATGACCTTCAACCACACTGTGTGCTGCCTGGCACTACATTATTTTTTAATAGAATTTTCCCTCTCTGTTGCTAGATAGCACAGAGATGAGCATAAATGCGTGGCCAAGAGTTCTTAAAGACCTTTGACAGCACAGAACTGAGTCAATACTTCACTACCCTCTCAGGTATTTTT